AAATGACATGTGCCATATTGTATCTACACCTGGGAGGGCTGAGGGTGCAGAAGTTTCATTCAAGGAACTTCTCAAGGAAAGGGTGCAAAATTTAATCAACCAAAATCCAGAATTTGATTTTGAAAATGAAAGTGTTAAAGTTAAAATATCAGGGGATGGGGCAAGGATGACTCGCAATACAACCTTTATCATTCTTTCTTTTGCTTTGTTGCAAAATAACAGTCATTTAATGTCAGCAAGGGGAAATAACACAATCGCCATTGTGAAGGGCTCAGAAAATTATGAAACACTGAAGGAGTCATTTGCTAATGTTTTTTCAGACATAAATGATCTAAATTCAATGACCAAAATCACAATGAATGGGAAAGAAATAAAACTTGAATTATTTTTGGGGGGAGATTATAAATTCATTTTAATCATGTTGGGTCTCAAAGGTGCCACCTCTTTCTATGCTTGTGCATGGTGCAAAGTTCACAAAGATAAAAGATGGGATATGAACCATGAGGAAGATTTTTACAATAAGCCACCATTGCAAAGAACACTAAAAGAATTAAAAGAATTATCAAAAAAGGGCAGAGAAAATTTTTGCTGTGAACATGAGCCTCTATTAAACATTGAGTTAGATCATGTAATTTTAGACGAATTGCACCTTTTGCTTAGAGTAGTTGATGTGTTACTAAATAATTTACTGGAGGATGTATTACAGTGGGACAAAAAAGATGATTTAAATAAGAAAAGGGGAGAAAAGAAAGGTGTTCATCGAGAGAGGCTGCAGGCTGCAATACGCTCATGTGGGGTTAGTTTTGATATCTGGAAAAAAACCAATGCTGATGGAAAGGGATCAGGCACCTATGATTTTACAAGTTTGCTTGGGAATGACAAAAAGCAACTCCTGAGAGAGCTCCCAGGCAAAATTTTAAGTGTTGTTCAGACTTCAACTTCAAATACTGTCAAGAAAATATGGGAAGACTTTAGGGAACTATATACATTTATTGGAAGTGGTCAAAATTCAGATAAGCAAATTACAGATTTTTTTGAAAAGGCTAAAAGCTGGGTAAACCTTTTCATTTCTCTAAGAGACAAAAGAAAGGGCTATGAACGTGCACGAATAACACCGTATATCCATGCTATGGTGTTCCATATCCCCAAGTTCTTCAGGACCCACAAGTCTGTAAAAATTTTCACAGGGCAGGGTGTGGAGAAAAACAATGATTATGCTAGAAACATTGTATTACATAAATCAAATAAATGGGATGCTGCCTCAGATGT